AGACACCAGGAAAGCAAATGCTGCTGCTAGCTTCACCCAGAGTACAGAGTCATGTGAGCACCCTCTGTCTAAATTGAGCAAATGGTATTTTAGATTAGAGAAGCTGGGTGGAGCCTATGTGTGAGGAGATCTTACTAACATTACTTATAAGAGAAATCATGCCACCAAGGTTCTGGATTTTAGTTCGTCAGATACAGTTAGCATAAGACACAGCTATGTACATGGTAACTCACTCACTGCTGGAGGCTAGAGACCTGGGTCGGGAATGGGATTAGGTTCTTAGAACTCCAGAGAGAAATTCTTCTCTTAGGCCAGATGGCACTGTTGCCCATGCCTTGCTCTTTGTGCCTGCCATATTAGAGTCAGGCGCCTCTCCCCCTCCCTCCTTCCTTCCATCACTGTGTTTATCATGATCTCATGATGTATCTGAGATGACACCAGGTGTTGAGGCCAGGAAGGTGTTCAGTTAAATACAGTGTCTACCATCTTGGAACTCAGTCTGGGGGGAGGGACAGTGGACAAAAGTCATTCTGGGTCCTCGAATCGTGGCTACTATAACCAAGTCAGAAGACCTAGGATAGTGTGCATCAGAAACATTTACCGGCCTCTTCTTCATTATCACCACGGTAACTTCTAGGTGGTAGTGTAGTTAGCAAAGAAGCCACAGGCGTCTGGCTCCACGGTTGCCGCTGGGACACGGACCCTTGGAGCATTTTTGGAGAGGCAAGTATAGTGCTGGGGAGAAGAACATTTGTCTTTTCCACCTCTGGGAACAGAGGAGTTAGCTCTTCTGAATCCAGCCAGGAACGGTGGTGAGCACTCCAGGCCCGAGGGAGGGAGCGAGCCCTCTGGGTTTGCTCACTGCTTTTGGGTGTGGTCTTTGCCTGTCAGTATCTGTCCCAGTGTCTGATGCTCTTGCTTTGAGCTGGGTGCTGTCTGTCTTGTGTGCTCCGGGGGGTCAGGCCACAGTGGGGGCTGGCTGGAGAGAGGCTGTGTGCAGAGGAGGAGGCGGGCTTACTGCCTGCTAGCCATGGACATCTAGATGGGGAAAAACAACAGCTTTATTTTTAGGCTTTGCTAATTCTCACTCTTCTAGTTCCCTGCTACCTGGCAACAGCTTATTGTCATGGCAACACCAATGTTAATGAGTGAAGCTCTCCTGTGTGTCTGCCCTACCCAGTGCTCTGTGACAGACACTTGGTGCAGAACTATCTTCCTGGCCCTGCAGGGCTCAAAGGCTAGAGTCCTCACTCCTTCACAGGTCTCCTAGACCCAGTCTTAAAGGAAGGGACTGGAGTCGTTGCCAACAAGGAGCCTGTGGCTCTATTTATGTGTCCCCATTTATTAATGTGCCCACAAGCTTCCTACACCCTGCCTCCCAGTAGCCTGTCCCCTTCCCATTCTTAAGTGGCAGTCACAGGCTAAGGAATAGGACCTGGTTGATCTTTCTGGGGTCTTGAGGTGGTGCTGATTTTTAATGGCAGTTAGTCACAAGGCTCCTGGGTCCTTTGGTGCTGCCATTCAAAGGACCGGTGCCCACAGTGCGATGACCTGTATCTTGCTTAGGCTGAGAGTCAGGGACCCACCCTACTCTCCTGTCCACTTTCCTGTCATTCGCCATCCTTCACTGCTTTGCACGACTCTTGGAGGAGGGACAGCCATCTGCTCCTGCTTCTTTGTGCCTCAGTTTCCCTATGGAAGTAGCAGTAATGCAGACTCTTGGTGGCTCTTCCTGTCTCACAGGGGTATGTGAGGCATTCCACTTTCCTGTTTTTGAGAAGTTCTGTGCTGTGGGTGACTTGCTGGAACTTTGACTCTGTTTCCTCACTACAAATCCTGGGTAGCAATGGTACTGACTTCTGAGCCTCACTCCAAGCCCTCCAGGGCAGTGTGTGTCTAGCGCTTGAGGCAGGATCTAGAATAAAATCATGGTTCCACAAGTGTTAGCTCTTATTATGTCAGCTTATCACTTAATTTGCAGTCTAATTTTATGAACTAAATACTGTTATTATTCTGAATTACAAGGAAGGAAACCCTGGCAAAGAGTGGTTAAACACCTGCCAGGGTCACTGAGAAAGATGGACAGGACATGACATAGACTAGGTGTACCACATCCCCTCACACTGTGCAGGAGCCTGCCCAGGCTCACGCTCCAGGCCCCTGGAGCTTCCCTCTTTCTGGGGATGCCTCAGGGCCTCGGGAGCACGCCTAATCCCTTTGTGCTCTTTGGATTTAAGGTGCTATGTGAACGTGGCATGCTGCCACCATGACTAAGTGTTGCTTCCAGAGAGGTGGCTCCTAACTGTCACGATTGTCTTGAGGGTGATACCGCACGGCTCTGCAACGAGCGGTATAGAGTTGGAGCTTCCCACAGCCACCTTCCCATGAGCTCAGCCTGTTTCTGAGACCTGAACTTCCTGGCCTTCCTGCTGTGTTGGCCAAGGAAGGGGTATTGATCCTTGCAGACTCCGGTCAGTGCGTCGGAATTCTCAGCAGCGTGCCACAGCTTTATTGCTCACAGTTTTTATAGAGCTTGAAGGCAGCACATTTGTATACTATAAAATAAAAACCACACAGTGTATTTGTAAGATGCTGTTCATCTCCCCACACCCCAGCCCTCTGGGCCTCTCTCTGGAGATAAGCTTCTCAAGTGAGTATTACACAGATGGATTCTTTATGTCTTCTGCTCTACATAGGTTCAGGTCCCCCTAGTACCTGCCAGTGCATCTGTGGAAATGCTCCATGTTAATATACAATGGATGATTCATTCATTTTCAACAGATGAAGCATTTTTTACTCCTGGTAAAGGAGACCAGGTGTGCTAGTCATTGTGAATAAGCTTAAGAACACCTAACAACTAGTTATTGATAGGGAGCAGTTATCACCACAATGACATTAATATAGGATTCTTGCCATAGGTGAAACAGTCTTTTAATTTCAGGTGTATTTTTAAAATTAAAAAGTTTTTTGAGAATTTCATGTATGCACATTGTATTTGCATAATTTCCACCTCTCCCTCTTTTCACTTCAGCTCCTCCATGTCCCCCTTTCCTCCTTCAAATTCATGGCTTCTTGTTCTTGAATTATTGTTGCATATATGTATACTCTCTCTTTCTCTGTATACATGTATATACATATACATATACATATACATATACATATACATATACATACATACACATACACATATGGCCTTTAGAGTTCATATGTGTAAGTGTTTAGGCCTGATTGCTTGGCATTGGGTAACCTGTGAAGGGGCTCATCCCTGGAGAAGACTGAGTCTTCCTGTCTTAGCAGCCATTCCTCCAGGGGTGGGGGGGCCTTAGGAGATATCCCCTGTCTACACTGGCAGATCTACAGCTGTTGCCATTGCTCAGGTCTTGTTTAGGCAAGCGTATTTTTGAGGCTTCATGGGCACGGCTTCCCTGTCATATAGAGAAAACACTATCTTGTAGTAGATGTCCTGGTCCTCTGGGTCTCACAGTCTTTCCACCTTCTCTTCTACAGTGTTCCCTGAGCCTTAAGTGTAGAAGTTGTATTGGTTATATATCAGTGGGGCTGGGCACAGTCAGTTATTCTCTGTGTTTTGATCGGTTGTGGAACTCTGTAATGGTCTCCATCTGCTTCAAAAAAGAAGCTTTTTAATGAGGGATGAAAGCTGCATTTATCTGTGGGTATGAAGTTAAGTGTTTAGAATGCAGTTAGGAATTATACTGGTTTAGAAAAGTCATGTTAGTAGTTTCTCCTCCAGGACCTATGATCTCTCCAGCCTGAGGTAGCTGACTAGGTTTACTGTACCAAGCATGAATTCTAGCCTATTGAACAGACCTAAGTCCAATTAGACAACTGTTGGGTACCACTAAGAGCTAAGCGCTCTATTGTACTCTTGGGGATATCTTGCTGTGCTGGTCATTGTTGTGGTTCGTGGGCTTTGTAGGTGGGTAGGAATGTTAATTGTTTCTCTCCACTGGCAACTTGCATAGCACCCATGGATATTATGAGCTAGTCCTCAGAGAGGAAACTTCCCAGTAGTTCCAGCTCGATTCCCCTAACTCCTGTGTACAAAGTGTAGTGTCTTCAGCAATAAGGTCTTGTCTTCAAGTTCTAGGTTGGGCAGTCAAGGGCAATGGCAATATCCTATATTATTTTGAGAATCTCTTTGACTCCCCTGACAAACAACTCAAGGAGAAGTTTCTGTTGTCTGGTAGTGGGGGCTTTGTTAGACAGTCTATGGCTCTTGGGGAGAGAGTATTACCACCCAAATGTATTACTTCATTCAAACTCTCTGTCTGTCTGTTCGTCTATCTGTCTGTCTATCTATCTATCTATCTATCTATCTATCTATCTATCTATCTATCTATCTATCTATCTATCTATCTATCTATCTATCAATCATCATAGGCCAGTCTGTCTGTCTGTCTATCTATCTGTATGAATACACATATGTACTATATATGTATTTTAAGCAAACATAAAATAATATTCATTATGCTTTAAAAACAAGCTGAGTGCTATTTATTCCCCCTTCTTCCTTTCCCTTTGTAGTGCTCTCCCCCATCCCTCCTCACTTAAACCCCTCCCCCAGTTTTTCATGTCTTCCTTTACAGCACTGGTGTAGCTCTGGAATCCTAAGTCACAGGACCTTTGAAGATGCCATCCCTTTGTCCTCTCAGTGAATTGGTGTGCTCCTTCTCATCTATAAACATGCTCAAATTGTGTTGCAAACAGAGCCTGAACGGGAGGACCGCTCCTTGGATGACACCATGACCTTTTAAATGGAAAGTGTCATTGATAAGTAGCACCTATCATTCTGCCTGGCGTGGTGTTAATCCTTGGGCACACAGTTCTGATTAGTACATGGTGTCTGTTAATATGTAGGGCTCATTTGAACTCTATCTCTTCTCTTTCTGTAGTGCTGGGTTTTAGTCCATGGATGTCTCAGGTTCTGTTTCTCTAACTCCTACTATGGTTCCTGTCCCCCAGCATCCCTGGATCCTCTGTTATATGGACACTGTCATAACCTCCTTGTCTGTCAGGTTTCTACATGCGGCACTGAGATGAATTCTAAGATGTCACATGCGGAACCAGTCCCAGAGGGAAAGCCAGTGAACGGAACCAGACAGAGCCCTGCCATTGTCTCCCAAACTTCCACTGAAGTAGCTGGGCACCCTTCTGGGTGAGAGGGAGGGGATGCTGGGCACAGTGCTGCTGGGTGCAGTGGGAAGATGAAAGGATGGTCACAGGTCTTTGTGTGCTTCACGTGAGCCGGGGATCCAGCACCTTAGCTGGTGTACAAGTCATTCTGGTCACGTTTTTCCGGTTGCTGTTGCTGTCTCTACTGCTGTCTCTACAGTCACCTGAGGACTGAATGGGCCTAGACACCCTTGCCCACCTGCTTGCTCATCAATGGGTTCCTTCCAAGAAACGCTGGGTTCTTATTGCACGGTAAGATAAGAGGCTTAGCTGAGGAGACTGTTTCAAACAGCATTCTCAACTTAAATACCGTCAGTGAGCTCGCTGGGGTAACTGCTCGGATATCAAACCCTTCTGGGTTTTGAAAAGACACAAACTCACAGGCCAGAGATTTTCTAAATCGAGAGCCCTAGGAAGAAGGCTTACAATGGTGGTCTTCACTGCATTCGTCACTAGAACAGTCTTGGCAGAAAATACCTATTTCTGGAGGCTGGAGAGATGGCTCTCTAGATAAGAACATTTATTGCCCTTGCAGAGGACCTGGGTTCAGTTCCCAACACCCACATGACATTCCATGACCGCCTGTTAACTTCAGCTCTCATGGATCTGATGCCCTCTTTTGACCTCTGTGGACTCCTGCAGGCACACACACGTAAGTAAAAGACATAAATTTTTTAGAATACCCATTTCCTCTACCTCCACTCAGAGGTCCCTGATTCAGAGGACATTGCACGGTTGTGGCTTCTGTGTGGTTTAGAAGCACCAGAGATGGTTCTAACGCAGAGTCAGAATGAGAGTCAGTAGTGTGGGTGAGAAACAGACGAGGAAAGAAGACTCCAGCTTCAGCAGGGGGCCTGCTCTGCTTGCCATACAGGGGAGAGTGGAAGACATGTTCTGGTTTTAATGTGCAGAAGCACTGTCTAGAAATACACCACAGGATTTTAAAAGCTTAGCTGCTCAAAAAATATTTGTATATTCATGTTTGTAATAGCCCCAAAGTAGACACAACCCGAGTTTCCATGAACAGATCCGTGAGTAAACAAATGTGGTACAGATACCCAGTGGAATATGGTTCGGCCTTAAAACCAGAGGCATGCTGACACATGCTATCACGGGGACGGATTTGAGGATATGCTAAGTGAAATAAGCCAGTCACAAAAGGAGAAATGACTTCATTTACACGAATCCTAGAAGAGGCACAGTCCTGGCGACACCAAGTTGAGTGGAGGCTGCCAGGGACTACGGTGAGGGGATGTGGAGTTGATGTGCAGGATTTCTCCTTCAGGGTACTCAGCAGTAGATGGTGATGAGGGTGGACAGCAACATGAAATGTATAATACTTAGAATGGGTAAGCTGGTGGCTTTTATGTCATGTGCATCTTAATACAATTAATATTAATTTCAGATTATTAAGAGTGACCTTATTTTAAGACTTTAGAGAAAATTTTGAATAAAATTTTTTTTTTAAATTCCTTAGTATTTAGACATGCTCTTTTTAATGTGTATGTTGAAGCACACCCTTTAGATCTTGCTTTTTCTGGCTCTTGGAAGCTAGGTTTTCACTTGGACTCACTTCGCTTTTGCACTTTTGTCTTGCAGACTGCTGCATTAGGGCTGGCGTGTGCAAGGTGATTTTTTTGGCTCTTAATTTCTTTATCTACATTAGATGTTAGGAACTCAGGTTCTGTCACCAACCTGCCCCGCCACCCCTGCTTCTCCACTGCCTTCCACTTCTTGAGGTGCCCTTTGGGAATATGCAGTAAACACTGGCAGAGAGCTTCCCCAGCTGCTTTCTTGTGGTGGATCATCAGTGATGTCCCAAAAGATGCAACCGTATCCTACACAGTGTCCTTATATCCCCCAGGAAGCAGCTCCATTGCAAACCCCTCCTCTCTCTAAGGCAGTGGATTGCCAGTAGTATAGGACTATGCTCTGGATTGTCTGGGGTGGGGAGAGAACAGGGGATTTCCCTTTGAAGACCATGCTGTATTATGAACAGACCTCTTCTTATGGTGCCCACAGTGCTTACCTGGGCAGAGGAGGCTGGTAGACCTTAGGGGCATGGAAGAAAGTCACAAGACCAGTCCATCTCTCCACCTGCCAAGTGGCAGAGCTGTCTGGCAGTGCTGGGAGGGAAATTGAGCCAGGCAGCCTTTTCCAAATACAATGCTGTGTTTAATTTCACTCTGGGAAACAGTGTCTAGCTATTGCAATACATGAAATATATTTAAGATTTGTTGTGTTAGAACACCAAGGGAAAAAAAAAAAGAAGTGTGTGTGTTTGTGTGAGTGGGGTTCCCATGTCTACTGGAGTTTGCTCAGAGCGTTCGGGTCATTTCAACTTGGTTTTCCATCATTCAGTGTCTGCTAGCCAGGGGATCACTGATCATGCCTAGCAGCCTCCCCTGCCCTGAAACCCCCCCCCCTCTTTCTTTCTTCTCTCTCTCTTTCCTCTCCTCTTCTTCTCTCTCTCTCTCTCTCTCTCTCTCTCTCTCTCTCTCTCTCTCTCTCTCTGTGTGTGCACACGCGCGCGCATGCATAGTCTAGCCTGAAAAATACCCTTTGGGAAGAACAAGACACTGGGTGCAATGGTGGGAAGTTGCAGGTAGAAAATGGGTACTGGATGTTTGTTTGCCTAGTGTTTGGAGGGGAGGGGCTCAGTGGGACCCATGCTCAGTAGACTCAGCACAGCTGAAGAAGCCTCGAGGACTCTTTCTTCCCCAGACCACTACCCCCTTCTTGACCATGATAAGCACAGGTATGCCCAGGTATGTCCGCTCTACTCTGTTTACTTTCACGCTTGTGGGCTGCTGGCCATGTAAAAATTGGATAAGGAGCCCGCCAAGGGGCTTCACTTCCACATTGTCTTGTCTCTTCCATCTTCTCTTTCCTTCCTGACTTGACTATTACTTTTTAGCACGATGTCTCCTCTGCCTTCCTTCTGCTAGCCAGAGCACTTGCTGAGGCAGACGCCCACTGTGTTGGCTGCCTTTCTCATTGCCAGGACAAGCCATTTGACCAAAGCAACTTAAGGAAGGAAGGGTTCATCGTGGGTCACAGTTTGGAGCAATTCAGCTCATCACAGCCCAGGAAACAGTTGGTGGTGGGGGCTGGCTACATTGAGTCCATAACCAGGAAGCAGAAGAGTTGAATATCTGGTGCTCAGCTAGCTTCCTATCTTTCCACTTTTCAGTCAGTCCAGGATCCCAGCCCACGGGGTGGTGTCACCACATCCAGGGCAGATCCCTTACCTCAATTAAACTTCTCTGGAGACTTCCTCACAGACACACACAGGACTGTATCTCCTAGGTGATTCCAAATCCTGTGGAACTGACAGAAATGGTTACAACATCACACCCACAAACAGGGCTCTAACTCCAGCCCGGATCTCTCCTTTCTTATTATCTGCTCAATGAGAAAATAATTGTGAGTTTTGAACTATTTTTTAAAAATCTGGAATCAAGTATTGCTAAGCATATCTCCCTTAAGCTATAAGTAGAAATGACCCAATCTATCCTGTGTCCAGTTTGAGGGAGCAGCAGACTGTTACCCTACAGCTTAGCTTTGTCCCTGGGTGATGACACAGATTAGACATGGACTCCTTCTTAAATGTCTAAGAGGGATTCTCCACGGAGTATTGGAATCTCTGGACACTTCTCTCTCACACTGTGCAAACTGTTATGTGTGAACAGGGTTTCCAGAGGTTCGATCTAAGACCCCGAGAGAGGTGCATTATCTAGTGCCTGGGCCTGTGGACATGGTGAAGGAGAGCCAGGGAGCTGGCCTTGAACAACGTTATCTGACCCTGGATGAGCTCCCATATGTTGTGGCTGTCATGAGAATCCAAAGAAGCCGATGTGCTCCACAGTAGACAGAAAGGATTCTGCCTCTCAGTCACTGGACATACTGTGGTATTGTATCCTTGGAGTCAGTCCAAGATGGGGAGGTGGACCAGACTCCAAGGACCTAGAGCACCACTCTCAAGTTGGTAGTGCTCCCAGGACCGCTGTTTGCAGTTAGAGATGCTGGAGTCCTGACTCCAATCTTTGGTTTCTGTAAGAGTAAGGGAAGGACATTGTTGAAGTCTTGTGGATTCTGTGTGATAATGTATGTGCGGTGCCAGGTAGAGTGCTGGCACAGTGTAGGCAGCTGGTACAGCCCTCCCCTCTGCTTGGTGTGGGATTGCAGGTGTGGAGTGGCTGGTGCCATTGAGAGGGCTGCATGCACACCCTCACTCTGTCTGAAAGCTAAGGATGTGACTTTCATGTTTTATATTTTTGTCTTTTTAATATATGTTGGTTCTCAAAACCCTAAAAAGTAGCTGTGCTGCCTGTTCATAGTTGGTCGAACTAGACGAGTCATTTTTCATATGAAAGTAACCAAGAAGATGTTCTCAGCTGTTTTCAACTGTTGTGATTTCTCCTTGATGTGTCTTTCTACAGGACACAGCTCCCGGGGTCTGGAACAGGGGCTTACTTCTTGGTGTATGAGGATAGCAGTGTGACCTTTGGTTGGATTCTGACAGGTCAGTGGTGTAGGAAAGGTGATGTAGGCTGCCAGGGATCCCAGTCCGTTTAGGCTCCCCCTGTCCAGTGTTTCTTGTCTTCCCAACTTGATCCTGAAGGTGGTCAGCGGTGTGTTTTACAACAGACATAGCTTTAATAGTTGTACTAGGTGAGGGCGCTACTGGAATGAGTTCCTTGTTCCTGTGCATTCATTCATTCATTCATTCATTCATTCATTCATTCATTCATTCAACAAGTGTTGACCAGGGAGGCTGTGGGCTGTGCTTCTGGCCTGCAGTGGAGACATGGCAGGGATCAGGGGTTTGTAATCTCTCTCTGCCTGGGGAGGAGGGCAGAAAATAGAGATCTAGGCATAAGTGAATAAGAAATCTTAATGTTTTGATGAGTCATGTGCAAAAGAAACTGAAGAGGAACAGAACAGAGTGACAGGGCAACATGGTGACTTACATTCCTGGCCAGGAGAGGCCCTTCTGGGACTTGGAAGACAAGAAGGAACTAATCTTCCAGGAAAGAGAAGAAGGGACTTCTAGGGAAGGGACAGGAAGTGCAGAGGCAGCTGTGACATGTGTCAGAGAGAGAGAAGACACAGCTGGAACAACTAATGTTGTATACCACCACAGGACAACCGGGGTGATAACGAGGCGTTGAATGCTCCAAAACAACTAATAAGACTGTTTTGAATGTTTCCATGTCTAAGGTGATAGATCCAGCAGTTTCCCTGATCTGACCATCACACACTATACATCTATATGTTGAATTGTCACAGGGATTCCACATAAATATGTACAATTACTGTGTCAGTTGAAAATCAAAATGTCTAACAAAGAAAGGAGAAGCAAGATTGGTGGGCGGCACAGTGAGCAGAGAGGTTGACAGGTGAGCCTCGCTGGAGGGCAGGTAGAGGAAGAAGCATGGCAGGTGGGGTGGCGACGTGTTTACCACTGCTTCCTTCTTTCAAAGTTCATTCTGCTTGTGGATTAGGAGATGGTAGGGCGTGACAAGGTAGACGAGAGCCTGCTGCTTGGGAGACATAGGGCCTGGCTCCAGCCGCCGGTAGTGGATGTGGGATGGATGGATGTGGACCTAGCTTTTCCAGAGGCCTGTGCTCTGGAGGGTGGTTGCCAAGGCATGCTGGTCTGTGGTGCCTCTGAAGGCCTCCAGGTGCTAGGCAGGATGGCTCTTGGCCTAGAACGAACGCCACTGATGAGCATATGGATGAAGGCATTGTGAGTTGGGCATTCTCACCCCCCAGCTGATGGCAGTGTAAATAGCTTACTTTTTAGGGTAGTTTGACAACACATGCAGAAGAGTTAACAGTATTCCTTCCATTTGGTTCAACAATTCTGTAAGATTTTACCCTATAAAAACAGTCAAAGGGGTTGAATTGGGAAGAGAAAGGGGGGAAATGATGTAATTGTATTTTAATTTTTAAAAAAGGAAAAAAATACTGAATTCTTCTCTTGGTTAGCAAAACCAAAACCAAAGAACCACCAATGAGAGGTATCTGAAACTTATTTACCAGGATGTTTTGGAAGTCTTATTTATGATGGTGCCAGACTTGGGATGATTTACTTTTTATTTTGTATTTGTTAGTCCTTTGGGAATTGACTAAGTCAGGATGCGGTCCACACGAAGAAATGCCATGTCTCTATAAAATGGTGATATGGAGGGGTGTGTAATGGCATAGGAAGATGCTCAATTGGATTGCTAAATGAAACAGTAGATTATAGAATGTTAATTAATACGATCTTAATTTTAGGACATGTATAGGTGTAGATGAGAGACACAGTATTTCAGAAAGTCTAGATGGTATATTAGGAGTTCAAGAAGCAAAAGGACAGACTTTTATTCTCTATTAGGTTCTACTAAATTTCTATAATAAACATTTGAAATAAAAAAGGCAGTGGAGGGCTGGAGTGGTGACTTCGTGTTTACAAGCACTGACTGCTCTTCCAGAGAACAGGGGTTTGGTATTCCAATACCCACATGGTGGCTCACAGCCATTTGTAACTAGTTCTGGGGTATCCAGCACCCTCCTCTGCTCTCCATCGGCTTGAGGCACACACATGGTGCATAAACATACGTACAGGCAAAGCATCCACACACATTTGTAAACATAGGGAAAAGAAGTGTTTGTTTTTGAAAATTGTGTTGGGGCCTTTCTGCACATGAAGGTGAGTCTGAATGGCAGAGCCTCTGTGGGCTGTTGCTGGGCTGGGCTTTCACAGACCAGTGCAGAAGTGGAGCAGAGAAGATGATTGAGGAAGAGTGAAGGAGACAGGCCCTAGCTCCCTTTAAGGGAGATGTTTGCTTTCCAATGGACCCTGGATGCTGCAGTCTGCAATGTCATGACCCTGACAGCTTTGGCTGGACATACATAGAAATGCTGAACAATTCAACAGACACATAGGATTTAAAACCTTGAGCTGTGCAATGCCAGGGACATCCTGCCTGCCCACAGGATCCAGAGTGTCCTAGATGGTGTGTCCACATGAGGATGTCTAAGGGAGGGATCTCACTCTAGAGAGAAGCTGTAGAAAATGAATCCAGAGCTATGACAGGCGGCTTGGGCTCCTGTAGCAGCTGGAGATTCCTGTGAGATTTATTTTTCTGGGGAATCACAGCTTCAATAAGGCATGGAAAATACCTTCCAGGCTAGTTTCAGACAGCTGTGACTATGAGTGGTCCAAATGCCTCTTGGAAAGAGTACTGGTGGTCACCATTGTCTTTTGAACCTGAGTAGAAACTGACTTGCCATTTGAACTAGCATCCTGATAGTACTGATTAAGATGTCCATAGTGCAGTTACCTCTGCTGGAATGTTCACTGACTCCTGAAGTGGATGGCCTTCCTGGCCCTCATGTTGATGAGCTGCTCAAGAGGGATCCTGACCCTGGTAACACTTGTTGATCAGCATGCTCCCTGGGTGAGCACTGTGCCTGGTGGCTTACATGCATTGTCTTCTTTTAGCTGTCGCAACCTTGCAGGGCTCAGTACTGCTGTCCCTGTGTCACAGAATAGGAAGCAGGCAAAGTAGCCTGTCTCCAGGCTACAAAGCTGAGCAGTCCTGAGCTGGGGACTAGATCTCTTCACCTCTAAGGCCTCTGCCCCAAACCCCTCTATTTTCCCGCCTTACAGTCACTCACTTTTCTAGCACCAGAGTTCATTTGTATCTCACAGGATGACTGTGAGCCTAGCCAGGAGCCACTGAAAACAAGGAAGGCATAGCTCCTGCCCTCAAGAAACATTCTTTGAAGAGTTGAAGGTCTATAGGAAGAGTTCAATAAATAATTTTTGAGGGGGCAATAATATGCAAAGACATTGTAGTCTAAGCTGACAGGTATCTCTAGCTCCAGTAAGATGTACAGAGAAGTCTTTGGAAGTTTAAAGAAGGGAGAGAGTGTCTCTGAGAAACCAGAGAAAAATTCGAGACGTGACGTCTGCAGTTTCCCTTGGCAGGTGTGGATGGTAGGATCACTTCTCTGACATGGCCTTATGGGGTACAGATTGGCCTCCTGCTTGCTCGTCCACTTCTCATCACCCACCCTATGTGGCCCTGCCCTGTTTTACTTTTCTAGTTCTGCTTTTCAGTGTTCACAACTGCAAGCTCAGAAAGGAATTTCTTATCATAATAAACATGGTGATTACAGATGATCTCTTTGAGAAAGGAGGAATCCCAACTCTTCATTATCACTTCTCTGTGAATAAGTCACATGCCTGTATCTGTATTCTAGGTCTTGTGCGCCTGGCCAAGAATCTAAGCATAGTTATCCAACATTAAAGCTCAGCACACACCCATTCCCTC